GAAAAATTCAAAAATATGCATGTCGGAATAAAGACTGTACAAGCAACTTACACCCTAAGTGGTAGTGAATTAGTGATAACAACACATGAAAAGGACTTGGGTATTTTATTTTTTAATTCTTTATTTTTGTGGGTACTTGTGAACATCGTGTTACATTGCGTTCATTAAAGGCAGTCAGCAGAGGTTACAATTCGTAATAATAAACAGCATCACATGCAAGGAATACACCCAAAATTTTATATATAAAATATTTTCTGGTGTTGAGTCGGTTAGCTCAAATATGGATCGGAGGTTGCCGGGAATTAGCCTGTGCACTCATCGTGTTATCCAGTACAGCTATGTCTGGGGTTGGTGGAGCTTAGGGCGCGAGGGTATTGAGCAGTGGACTGTTGTCACCTGCAGGGCAAGAACCTAGTCCTTTCTAGGTGGTTTGCTCATAGGAAGTCGCGCCAGCTAGGTTGGTAGTTATAAGTGCCCTGAGGGTGCTCATGCGCTTTCATAAGGAAGGGGCACGGTTAAATAAGATGGGGGGCAGGTGGCTGGTCATAGTGGTTGGTTAATGGCTTGCAGAGCCAGATACATGGAGCATATGTATATATGCATATTTGAACCAAGGGAGATGGGGGACCTAGGTTAACCTTTCCAAATAATATAACATAAAACAAAAGCAACAGAAAACAGAAAACAGAGCCTTGCGTGGCAACATTAACAGCAGGCGTTGCTGGGTTCAGGTAGGGAGAGCATCTGCTCCTGTTCTTGTTACTCTGGGCACGAATAGGCTGATGTTGCTACAGTCCATGAGGGGCGGGTGTCCGCCGAGTTCGCTGCTATCGGTAGGCCTAGGGCTCGGAGGAAAGCCGGCACTTCAGACTTGTGCGCTAAGATGTGTTGCTTGCCATATCTCTCCACCATCAGTCGGTGCTGCCCCCACTTGTACGTTATGGATATCTCCTGTAGTTGTTGTGTAATCTGTCCAAGTGACCTCCTCCATGTCAGAGTGTATCTGGATATGTCCCTGAAAAAGGTTAGGTGTGCTCCCTCAAAGGGGACCATGGGAGAGTCTTTGGTGGCACTCATGAGTGTCCCCTGGTCGGAGTCCAGGTTAAATTTAAGAAGTACATCCCTGGGAGCCTCCTGTGGTGCTTTGGATGCTTTGGGGAGCCGTAAACATGAATCCATGCCCATCTGCTTTATTTGCTTGGGCAGCAGTAGTGTAGCCAACAGCCATCGGCAGTAGTGTGGTAGTTCTGCGTCGGTGACTGCTTCCGGCATCCCTCAGATCCTCACATTCCGTGCCTTTTCCCTGTCCCCCATATGTGCTAGTTGAGTAGGGCCCTGTATTGCCTTTGCAGTGCTCCCAAGGCTGCGTCAGTGGCAGTTTGGGCGAGCCCTGCACCCTTGAGACCTTCTTCTACTGTTATCACCCAGCTTGTGAGCGTCGAGACCTCCTCCGTGACTTGCGCCATGTCGGCGTGGAACATAGCCTGTATTTCTTTGGCTAATGCCTTGATATCGGCTTTTGATGGAGCTGAGTCTCCTGGTTCCGAGTGTGCCCCGGGCTTGACAAGTACCTTTGGTGGAGGTAAGTATGCTGTCGGACTCTCGTCTTCTGATGATGGTGAGGTGGAAGCCTCTGCCGGCGCCATCTTGCCGAGGTCAGGACTCGTGGCCGGGCGCATAAAGACTCCTATGTCTCTGGATCCCGAGCCTGGATCGGCTTTATATTTTTTAGCCTTCTTGCCCATGCTGTAAGGCACTTGTGGGATTTTGGATAGCTGGTTAAATTTTGCCGTTATCTCCGAAATTTCGCATTTCGGTTAGCTGCTTGAGGATTTGGGGATTTTTATAGACAATAAACTAGACAAAAATTTGCAATGTCAATCAGCAATTGCTATGGCCAACAAGGAATTGTCATATATAAAATAGCAGTTATTCTTTGGTTAGAAATATGAATCAATGATAAGATCACACCTTGAATATGCTGTCTCATTTTAGGCACCTCTTCCAAAGAAGGATATTATGACACTAGAAAAAGAGCAAAGGCGGGCTACACAATTTATCAGAGGAATAGAAGATTTTAGTAATGAAGAAAAGTTAACAAATTTAAATCTGCTTAGTTTAGAAAAACTACCTTACAGGGGATATGGTAGAAGGGATATGGTAGCATTTTGCAAATATATTTAGGCCAATACAAACCATTGCCTATAAATTCATTCATAGACAGGACTAAACATAGGACACGAGGTCACACATTTAGACTGGAAGAAAGCAGATTTAGTCTAAGGCAAATGAAAGTTCAATGCAGATGTGAAATTCTCTGCATGCCTGGTATTCAGAATCTGTACAGATGTTCAAACAGCAACTGTATGACTGCTTGCAAAATAATATTCAGGGATATAAATTTAATAAGTAGGGTAACAGCTTCTTGATCAAAGGAGAGATATGACTGCCATTCTAAGTTCTAAGAAGGATTTTTCCTAGTTTGTTGCCAAATTGTTATAAACAATAACAGCTACAAACAGTTTTTTGGTTGTTTTTTGCCTTCTTTTTGCAAAAATAGATGTGAGAAAGGCTGCACCTGCTGGAGGCAACTTTTCGGCCTATGTAACTTTAAATTTTAAAGAGGTGTTGGCACAAATGTTTCAATGCAATAGAAGTCTAACAATATATGTATTTTGCAGTACACAGAGAGGCACATTTTCCCATCATTTGGTAAACAGATCAAGTGAGCAGAAGTAGCCAATAGAGGAAAAAAAAAGTGCAGCAGTAAAAAAATTGTTTTTATATTAAATATATAATAGGTCGTTTTTACTATTCCTCCTATTTTTCTCCTCTCTTGGTCACTACTCACTTGATCTGTGAATAAATCAATATTTAGTGGCTCTTCCCTAACCGTCAAACATATTTTTTTCCCCATCACTCATCTCTGTCTTCCATATATGAATCAAACAAAACTGTTTGTTCACCACCTGTTTAATTTGTTTTTGTGCACTTCAGAGTCTCAGAATCTGTAAGTACTGCCGATAGCCAAAAGTTTGGGCAAATCACAATTTGTTTAAAACCAAATACACAAGTCTTCCAGCTACTCTAAGGACCAGTAATAGACTTCAGGGTCGTTCTTCTGGATGTTAAAATAATACTTCAAGCCCTATCTGACACTTGAATCTTCTGTCCATTTTGTGGCACTTCTCCAGTCTGTGGTAAGATATGGTATTTGATTGCAATATGCAACTGGTTCATTATCAGATTGTTATTTTGAAACTGAATATGACACTGAACTACAATGGCATAACATTTGAAAGGATTTCATATTAGAGGAGCCCCACATTTAACAAAAAAGCAACACAGTGACCAAAATATTACTCTATAGTGAGAAATGATACCGAGGAGTCATGACAATATATATTATAAATAAGAGAATTTATTTTTTCTTGTAACTCCTTGGTTCCATTTCTCTCAGTGCACTATTTTGGTGATTGTGTTGTTTTTCATGTGACACTGATGCCTGGCTTAGAATTGATGATGTCGTAAAATGGAAATGTAGGATATAACAGAACAAAAACATTATGTTTTTACTTATTAATTTTAACATGAAACAAGATATTTGTAAATTCATGGTATTTTCAGTTGACTTCACTCCTATTAAATATGGCAAAAAAAAAATGTTAATTTGTATTATTCCAGTGAATTTCAATCAACACAAGAGGTGTTCTGTAATTATGGAAGTCATACCAAGTGATTACTACCTGGAGACGCAATTATTTAAATCACTTGCAGATTGATCCACAATTCAGTTTCAAGAACCTAACTGTTTTTGCTCCACAATGATATCTGATCTGATAGTGAAAAAAAAAAGCCAAAATAAAGTGTTTTATTAAAATAAAATAAAAAAATCATCAGTATAGTTCTAATTTTGGAAGTAATTATTGTAATATTATTTTTATGACAGATGGCAATGGCATAACAACTTCCACAAAATATCAATATTCCCCCCCCCCCCACTTAAAATGATTCTCCAGTTCAACCTTCTTGTCACTTGTACATCATCTCCTTTTAAACCTTTTTACAACTATTTTTTTTTATCCGTATCTTTTACATCATATTCAGTTATTTGATGTGAAAGTTATGGATTAAACTCACTGATTTACAGTTATCCCAAAAGTACACTTTATCACCTTCTTTACAATCAATCAATTGTTCCATTTTCTTTGGAAATAGTATAGAATATAGTATAGTTTTTATCCCATTTGTTTTATTTATTTTTTCTCCTGTGAAGTACTTAAAATGTATAGTAATCTACTTGATAGAGTAAATAAGATTAATCTTCTGTGACAGATGTATTAGGATTTTCTCCCTTACAGCCTTGTATATGTTTTAATATATTTTCTGTATCACATGATTGATGGTGTCACTAATTGTGATGATGTAATCAATTGTATCTGCAATTTAAACAGGATAGGCCTCTGATGCTGTAACACTTTGATAAAGCCTCTTTGCAGGAGAAACGCGTTAGTGTTTTCTAAAGCTGTTTTATGTTACTATTTTTTTTATCTCCAATAAAGATAGCTTATTTATGCTATTGGAGCCTCCAAGCCTATCCTTTTATTCTATTTTATTTTATAATATAATTACTTTTACTCTCTCCAACACCCCCACTGGAGGACTCGAGGAGTGATATCCTTGGTGGGGATCATACCACCTACGCCTACATATATTGAGCAATATCCTATTTGCTCTACACTTGTGAGTATACCTCCATTTTTTTAATCATTTTATTTTGTATTATCCAGAGAGCACTATTTTGTGTTTTTATCCTTTTTATATATCACCAATTATTCAAATACCGGCCTACTGTCATTGGAAAGGAGATATACCCTACCACCACTGGAGACCCCCTTT